GACATACATTGAATTTTTGTAAAGGTTTAGTCGGACACTGGGAATGTCATAGAGATGTTTGTGTCTGGTGTTGTGCCTGTGGGTTCTGTCACAACTATCAAGAAAGCATTTTAGGTCAAGGTTAATATTGGAATTTAAGGTCCTGTAGATGTAGATTGCACAGTAGTAAGTGTGGATGTACTGAACAGGGAGTAAGTTTAGATCTATGAAGAGTGGGGGGGGGGGTGTTGCCAGGGATGGGATTTAGTGATTATTCTTACTGCGGCTTTTTGTTGGGTTATTATTGGCTTTAGGTGTGTTGCTGCAATTGAACCCCAAGCACAGATAGCATAGGTGAGGTATGGATATATAAGTGAATGGTATAGTGTGAGAAGGGCAGTTTGCGCCACGTAGTATCGTATCTTGGAGAAGATCCCAACCGTTTTGGATACTTTTTTGGTTATGTGTTGGATATGGGTGTTGAAGTTCAGGTTGTTGTCGAGGTATAGGCCTAGGAATTTGCCCTCATTATGCCTGGTAATTAGAGTGTTGTCGATCTTAATGTTAATTTGCGCATCTCCTGCTCTGCTACCAAACATAATGTAGTACGTTTTGTCAACGTTAAGCGTAAGTTTATTGGCTGTCATCCAAATCGATATTTTGATCAGCTCCTCATTAACAATGGTGTTGAGGGTTGCAAGATTAGGGTGAGAGATGACATAAGTCGTGTCGTCAGTCTGTAGGAGCATCCCAGCTGTAATGTGTGTGCCACTCTGGCCTCCACTTTGGTACTTTGCTTCAAGTTTTTTCTTTAATTCTTTTGTGCTTCTTTCCTTCTTTACCACAGGGCTGGCACTAGAAGCTTTCTTTGGGCCCATGGTGGCTTACTTAGCAGTTACAAGCACTAAAAACAATGGAATAATAAAAAACATATCACATGTACATGTGGAATCATCCTCACTGGCTTGTAAACACTACCTGTATGTGGACTTAGGCCGCGCGGACATGTTCGGGACGAATGTCCTTATCTGAGATTTTCAGCGTTAGCCGAGCTAATATTTTGATGCAAAAATGTATTGGTATCTGATTTTATCGCTGTCCGATGGCATCGTTAACTGAGGGTCCACTGTTAGTGTAAATTTGTTATCTGACATTTATCTGCATTTATAAGTGGAAAAAATGGCGATCTGCTTTCTGGCGATGTCTGCTTTGTGGAGGAACCCTGGAACCTTACCTGCCATACAAGTGGGGCCCTACTGTACTTACTATAAATTATGACATAGGTCACCCTTTCCTTACGAAACTGTTGTGTGAAAACGACGGAAAAAAACACCTGACATCATGAATAATGACTTGATTGAAAACCACTGAAAACTTGGGACACTGAAAGGAGGGTGTCATATATGCAGGGGCCTCCTATAGATGTAAATGTTATCCTCATTTTCTTTACATTTTAGCTGATGATGCGAATATGAAAAGTGTGTTACTGACTGCTGATGCAGGAAACACTTGATTTAGTTCACTATGGAGACCTGGAAATTAGTTGTGAAATGAACAAGAAAGAGTTGTTCATTAACCCTTTGAGGGTTTCGGCCGTACTAGTACGGCTTACGACCCAGGGTTTTTGACGTATTAGTACGCCTAAATTCTAGCGCCCTCAAATCTAGTGAGAGAAAGCTGGTAGGCCTACATATGAAAGAATGGGTCTATGTGGTCAGTGTGCACAGTATAAAAAAAATCCTGCAGCACACAGTGTGTAATGAGAAAAAAAAACTTTGACCGTGTTTTTGGAATAAAACAGCGAATTTGCACTGTATTTTTGTATGGTATTTATTGTTGTATTCTAGTTTTCTTGGTCTTATTTTATAGAATGGAAGACATATTACAGAAATTGAGATGATTTTGACTGGTTTTACAATGAAAAGTACCTTGAAATTGAGCGCAAAGTAGCAGAAATGTTCGATTTTTATCAAAGTTCAAAAGTAAACAAATCATGCCAAGCGCCCAATACACGTCAACTGGTGAGTCTAATATTCTTTCACAAGTGCGCTGATATTATTTATACCATTTCTACACTAAAGCAGTAGTCTGCATAACAGTAAATCTTCTATTTTTTGTAAGAATAAAAATTCAAAGTGGAAAGCCAAAGAAATATAAGAGGGGCCTGGGGATGTGACTAACGAACAGAGAATTTGTTATTTTAGTGCCAGGAATGTCTTTTTTGTTTATTCTGGACCTTATTCAGAAATTGGCATCTTTTGAAATTTGTGTGAAATTGGCAAAATTGCTAAATTCTGACCACTTTATTGGATAGTTGAAATTGGTAAATGGTTGGTTTCTTGTACTCATTCGATAGAAAAAACGGAGTTCTAGCGAAATAGTTATGATTTTTGTCGACTAGTACAGTGGAATTGGCCGAAAATAGGGCTCAAAGTGGGCAAAATCGCGGATGCGTAAACATCATCAAGACCGCTAACTTCGTGAGAGCATAATTCCGTAAGTTTCCCATCAAATTTCATACTTTTGGTGTCATTATGATCGGGAAAAGATTCTCTATCTTTTCATCAGAAAAAAATAATTTTTTTTTTTTTTGGGGGGAAATTTGGCCAACCCTGAGAATGAGTCTCGGAGAGGGCCTGTCGACCCTCAAAGGGTTAAGCTGTATCTACATTTTCCTGAGACTACTACTGATGATGCAGAAGATATGACTGCAGTGTGTGTTGACTGTTGATGCAAGAAACTGCTGATTTACTCTCTTCTGTGGTTATCTGTGACATGATTACAATATACAGGGTGCTGTGCTCAATAGTAACCCTCATGCAGACAGAAACTCAGAAGATTAATTGATCTGTATATTTTGACCCCCTGCTGAGGACCCCATGAGAGAGTTGAAATATGCAGATCAGTTAATCTTCAGAGTTTCTGTCTTCATGTGAGTTATTATTGAGATTTGACAAATGTTCATTACACTTTAGTTATTCACAGAATTCTGTATTGGTCAAGGAAGCAGTTTGGAAATATTCAAGTTATTTCTCTATTGTTGAATGTGGTTTATTCTAATACAGTGGACCCCCGGTTTACGATCAGCTCCCAGTGCGACCAATTATGTAAGTGCGTTTGTATGTGTATGTTTGGGGGTCTGAAATGGACTAATCTAATTCACAGTATTCCTTATGGGAACAAATTCGGTCAGTACTGGCACCTGAACATACTTCTGGAATGAAATAATATCATGAACCGGGGGTCCACTGTATACTACCCATATATGTAGTTAGTGTATGGGTCACTATATACAGCATATTTACAGTATAACTCATGAAATCATAATGACATGATGGCAAGCAAACCATACCACAAGCAGGGATAGAACCTGCGGTCAGAGACTCATAAAACTCTCTGACCACGGGTTCCATCCCCGCCCGTAGTATGGTTTATTTATAGTACATGTGTGTATAAGTATGTGTGTGTGTTTGCATGCGTATATCCATGCAGAGGAGAGAGAATGATTTTGGGAGATATTAATTGAGCATTTAAGGAGTTTTAAATCATGTAAGAAAATACAGCCTCTCCTCACATAATGATGGAGTTCTGTTCCTAAGACCATGTTGTTAAATGAATTCATTGCTAAATGAGGAGCATACTATAATGGTAGTGGGATTGTGTCATCCATCTTTGATATTGTTTTAATGTCACCTTTGCACCATTTATAACATTTCTGGTGTATTTTTAAATGTTTATACAGTAGTATATTGTACATTGAAATAAACAGAATAGAGGAAATCAGCTTTGATATACATTATTTAGGTATAAATACTGGTCAGAGATCCCATCGTAAGTTCGAGGCTTTGGTAAACAAGTATGTCGCTAAGTGAGGAGAGGCTGTAATTAGTTGTGAAGGACCTCAATGCTAAAATGAGAGTAACTGTTGTAGAGGGTGTAGTAGGTAAGTTTGGAGTGCCAGGGATAAATGTTCATGAGAGGTCTCTAATTCCTATGTGTAGATAGAGGTTTGGTAATTGGTAATATATATTTTAAGAAAAAGAAGATAAATAAGTGTACAAGATATGATTCAGGGTGTAATGAGATAAGTTTGTTAGACTTTGTATTAATAGACAAAAGGCTGATGGGTAGACTTTGGGATGTGCATGGATTAATTAAGAGAGGCAACAGATACGTATATCAGATCATTATTTGATGGTAGCTGCTGTGAGAGTAAGAGGTAGATAGGGTACAAGGAGAATGGTATCAGTGGTTAAGAGAGAAGTGAAAGCCATTAAATTAAAGGAGACATTAAGAGCACAATATAAGCAGTTAGTGGGAGAAAGATGGGCTAGAGAGAGTCCAGGTAGTGAGGAGGGAGTCAAAGATGTATGGAGTATATTTAAGAATGTAGCATTAGAGTGTGCAACAAAAGTTTGTAGGTATAGGAGGGTGGGCACCAAGGGAAGAAGAGTAATTGGTGGAATGATGAGGTAAAGAGGGTGGTAAGGGAGAAAAAGTTAGCATATGGTAGATTTTTTGTAATTTAAAAGTAATATATGAGGGACAGAGTATATAAAGAGCAAAAGAAAGGCTAAAAGACTGTTGAGGAAGTGTAAAAAGAGAGGTAATGAAAAAGTGGGAGAGGTTTTATCAACAAATTCTGCTGTAAATAAGTAATTTTGGTGTGAGATTAATAAGTTGAGAAAACCTGGGAACAAATGGATTTGATAGTTTAAGACTAAGAGGGAGGCTATTAAATGGGGGTAGTGGAGGTACTAGGAAGATGGAGGGAATATGTTGAGTTACTAAATGTTGATGAAGAAGGGAAGGTTGGGCAGGAGGTATAACATCTTGGAGTGAGGAAGATCCAGATGTGGGGGAAGTGTGTTAGGCAGCGGGTAGAATGAAAGGGGGTAAAGCAGCTGTGATAGATGGATCAAGGCACAAATGTTAGAAGCAGGTGGGGATAAATTTTTATATAGGAAGATTTAATGATGATTTTGTATAATAATTTATTTATTTATTTCTTCTTTTGGCAGGTATGGACACTTCTCAGGAATCAATCGGAAGGTGCAGTTAAAGTACCAACCACGAGGATGGAAAAGACGGTCCAGTAGTGAAGAAGGTACAGTATTTTCACTAATGAACATTTGATGAACCTGAAGATTTTAAGAGCCTGAGTTCCATGAACCACTAATAGGATTGGGAACCTGTCTTTATAACTCCAGTAATAGATTCTTTGAGTTCCTCTTTGCTCATTATTTCTTTGTTTACATTTTTTTAAGTTCAAGAACACTATAACTTCCTTGATGACTCTCAGTGCCAGCTCTGAACTCTTTCACTGTCCATCACATACAACAATATTATTGATGACAGGGTCTCTCATGGCCAGTGTCTTGTTGAGTTTAGCTCATTCAGTTGAGCTGAGAGCAGTAAATTTTGGCCTAGATGTGAGAGAATGGGTCTGTACAGTGAATGCACACAAAAAAAAAATCCTGCCCCATGCAATGCATGATGGGAAAAGCAAAACTGACCTTATCTTTGGTTTAAAATAGCTATTTTGAGGTGTTTTCTAGGATGATTTTATGGTTTTGTTGGCTGTTTCTTAGTATCATTTGATAGAACAGAAGACATATACTTCTGAAATAGAGATGATTTTGGTTAGTTCCAGAACACAGAGTAGCTTGAAATTGGCCTCAAAGTAGCAGAAATGTTAGTTTTTTGTCAGTTTTCCTGAGGGAGGGTAATGGTCTCTCAGGAAAAGAAGCCATACTAGCAAACTAGCTAAGAATTTGGTTGAGTTGAGCAGTGGAATTGGCGCCTGCTTAATTCCATAAGTTTTCTATCAATCATAATTTTGGTGACATTACCTTCAGAAAAAAATTCTGTATCATTTCAGAAGAAGTTTTTTTACCTTCAGAAAAAAATTCTGTACCATTTCAGAAGAAGTTTTTTTTACCTTCAGAAAAAAATTCTGTACCATTTCAGAAGAAGTTTTTTTACCTTCAGAAAAAAATTCTGTACCATTTCAGAAGAAGTTTTTTTACCTTCAGAAAAAAATTCTGTACCATTTCAGAAGAAGTTTTTTTATTTTTTTAATTTGGACACTGAACACTTTTAATTTTAGTGCTTTGGACAGTAAAAATATTAACCACTAAACAGTTGCCATACCAAATTGGAAGCCATTTCTGCCTCAGCATTAAAAAAAAGATAAAAAACAATTTTGTAAAATGACTGATTCTTTTTCTAAAATTATTGACACCAAAAATTAAAAATTTCATGTAATATTTACGAAATTACGCAGACCGGGGTTAGAGGCAGATGAGCACTTTACTCAACAATAATTTCTAACACTTTGAGCCTATTTTAAATGAATTCCAGTGCTCAAACTGATTCAGTTCCAGGCTGCTTCACTGTATGTTTTCTGTATTATTCTCCAGGTTGACACTGTTGTCAGTAAATTCAAATTTAAAAAAGTCCAAACAATACACTGTAGGATTACAGTTACTAAAGCAACCTTTCCTCTGTCCAGTAATCATATCCCCAGGTCTCTCCTCAACAATGCTCTCCAATCTTCATGTACAAAAAATCATTTTTTTTTTCTAATTTTTCTGTACAAAGGTGGATGACATTACATCTTTCACATGGAGAGTCCCTTAGTTATGTAGAGCATTTCAGGCAAACTTAAACAAAACTTACATCTAACTTTCAAATTCAGATTGAAGTTTATTTCTACATGATACATTGTTTATACAGGAATGGGTGATGAATGCATACAGAAAACCTATGGTTATGCAGAGCATTTTGGACTAAAGTATTTTAAATATACAGGTCTCCCTCAACATTTGCATTTTCAACTTTTGCGGGCTTCACACATTCGCGAATTCCTAACCGCCAAATTCCCAACCACCAAATTCCCATGCGCCAAATCATATTTAAGTTTCCCGCCTGGCGAGTCTCTACTACCCTCCCTCTGGCCCCCACAACTGGCAGCCAGCCCTCCCGCCACTCAGTGTGGTGAGAGTTTTGTTTGTTAATTATTTGCTATTAAACTACAATATAAATAATGTCAACCCATTCATGACTGTATATTGGAATGGCCATTCAGACAGGTATTGGACAGTGACATCATATGTTTACTCTTGAACACTGCAAAGAATCAACATTTCTGCTACTGCTAATAATAATAATAATAATAATAATACTATAGAATTGAAGAAGGAAATTGTACAAAAATGTGAGGGTTGAAGCAGTGGTGGAGGAAGTGGTTGAGGTATTGTCAGTGTGTCAGTGTGGTCTTGTTTATGCTGGAGTGAGAAATAGTCTCTGTGCTCTTCCAAACATTTCACAATAATTCATTGTGTTTGGTGCTTGTAGATTGAGTGCGGCTGGAGTGGTTGAGGCAGTGGTTGAGGCAGTGGTTGTGGCAGTGGTAGAGGCAGTGGTTGAGGCAGCGGTTGAGGCAGTGGTTGAGGCAGTGGTTGAGGCAGTGGTTGAGGCAATGGTTGAGGCAGTGGGTGAGGCAGCAGTTGAGGCAATGGTATTTAATAACATCTATGCTATTAATGATAATAAAACATATTATCAATAATAAAATTTATTATTATTATTATTAACATGTATGTTATTAAATACCACTGCCTCAACCACTGCCTCAACCACTGCCTCAACCACTGCCTCAAGCGCTGCCTCAACCTCTGCCTCAACCACTGCCTCTACCACTGCCTCAATTGCTGCCTCAACTGCTGCCTCAACCACTGCCTCAACTGCTACCTCAACCACTGCCTCTACCACTGCAGTTGCACTCAATCTGCAAGCACCAAACACAATGAATTATTGTGAAATGTTTGGAAGAGCACGGAGGTTAATGCTCACTCCAGCATAAACAAGACCACACTGACTGACGATGCCTCAACCACTTCCTCCACCACTGCTTTAACCCTTGTATTTTTGCACAATTTCCTTCTTCACTTCTATCGTATTAACCCCTTCAGGGTCCAAGGCCAAAATCTGAAGTGGTGCTCCAGTGTCCAAGAAATTTTGAAAAAAAAAAAAATTATTTTTTCTTACAGAATTAAAGAGTATATTTTTGTGAAGGTAATAAGACAAAAAAAAGTTTTTTCTGATCAGTACTTGCCGAGATACAGTGGTGGGAAGTTGACCCAAAATGACCGGGTGGCGGGAACATCAGTGACTTCCACAAAATCCCATTTTTTATTTTATGTTTTTTATATACTTTTTTCTTTTCTTTTCTAATTTTTTTCTTTTTCTAATAACATTTGTGGCCTGTGAGACCAGTATAATGTATATTGTATAAGTGTACACTCATTGTATTCAACACAATAACTGCACTAATTTGTTTATCATTATATTGCTTACAAAACTTGTTTATAAATTTATTGTAAACAAAATGACGAAAATATTAGTGCGGTTATTGTGTTGAATTCAACGGTACCATATGGTACAATGGTGCCATAGGGTGCAATGGTACCATATGGTACAATGGCACCATATGATACAGTGGTACCATATGGTACAATGGCACATGATACAATGGTACCATATAGTACCATATGGTACAATGGTGCCATAGGGTGCAATGGTACCATAGGGTGCAATGGTACCATATGGTACAATGGCATCATATGATACAATGGTACCATATGGTACAATATGGCACATGATACAATGGTACCATATGATACAATGGTACCATATGATACAATGGTACCATATGGTAGAATGGCACCATTTGGTACAATATGGCACATGATACAATGGTACCATATGATACAATGGTACCATATGATACAATGGTACCATATGGTAGAATGGCACCATTTGGTACAATGGTACCATATGATACAATGGTACCATATGGTGCAATGGTACCTTATGGTACCACATGGTGTAATGGTACCATATGATGCAATGGTACCATATGGTACATTGTACCATACAGTACAATGATACCATATGGTTCATTGTACCATATGGTACTGTTGTATTCAACACAAACACACTAATACAGTGGACCCCCGGTTAACGATATTTTTTCACTCCAGAAGTATGTTCAGGTGCCAGTACTGACCGAATTTGTTCCCATAAGAAATATTGTGAAGTAGATTAGTCCATTTCAGACCCCCAAACATACACGTACAAACGCACTTACATAAATACACTTACATAATTGGTCACATTAGGAGGTAATCGTTATGCGGGGGTCCATTGTATTTTCATTATTATTTTGTTTACAATAGTTGTTTACAACAAAAATATGCAAAAATGTTGTATATTAGTAATGTTCTATTATATATTTACAAGTGTACAGGAACTTTACGTGTTCCTTGAGGTGGATGACAAAGCACTTTGTCTGGGAAACTGCGGAGTCAGTAGCTAGCTTCCATCGCCACTCACTCAGTCTTGGCTGGTGTCTCATGCCACCAACACCTATTGACCATATGGTACACGGTATATGTTACAGGGTACCATATGGTACATTGTATGGTAAAGGGTACCATGCAGTACAGGATAACATATGGTGCAGGGTACCATATGGTACAGGGTACCATATGGTACAAGGTACCATACAGTACAGGACACCATATGGTACAGATACCCTGTACCATATGGTACCCTGTACCATATGGTACCCTGTACCATATGGTACAGGGTACCATACAGTACAGGACACCATATGGTACAGATACAGGGATAACTATGGAAATAAGTCACCCTGACTTTTTTGGGTTATCCTAGGATTTTATACGTATGCTGCTATGTATGATAATCTATGTAATTGTATTTCTGTACACCTGAATAAACTTACTCAAGTGCATGTGGCATCATAAGTAAGTTTATTTAGTTATACACAAATAAAGTTACATAGAATATCATACTTAGCGGCTGATCAAAATATCGACTTGGATGACAGCCAAAAAACTTACGCTTAACACTGACAAAACCTACTATATTATGTTTGGTAGCAGAGCAGGAGATGCACAAATTAACATTAAGATCGACAACACTCTAATTACCAGACATAATGAGGGCAAATTCCTAGGCCTATACCTTGACAACAACCTGAATTTCAGCACCCATATCCAACACATAACCAAAAAAGTA